TCTCTATTTTTTCTTTCCACATGTGAATAAGACACAGACAGGTATCGAGTAAGGTAAACATGCATTTATAAGAATTATGTCATTATTAACAGGATAAAAGCATGTGGAATGTTTTTTTTCATAAGTATAAATGTTAACAAAGGAAAAACACAAATAATTGGATTACTAGATTATCCCTCTCATGTAAGTGGAGAGCAGAAAGTGATATCTCTCAGGGAGGGGTACTAAACTCCCGTAGGAATGTACCTCCTCCCTAGTATTGCAAGTGTGGACTATGGGTACGCTGACAGGCATCATGGGAAGATGGGGGGGTGTGGGGTTAATAGAGTCAGATCCCCATCTGGCCCCACCTCCATGGCTGAGATAATCAGTTTTGATGATCTCAGCCAATCCACTCCTTTCCCATAAGAAAGAATTGGGAGCTATTGCACATTCATGGCAAAACACTGCGCTGTGCCAATCATCGCCTCATAGAGATGCATTAAATCAATGCATCTCTATGGGAAACGTTCAGCGCCTGCATGCTGGACTAGAAAGGCCCTCTGAGGGACTGCCACAAGAGGGGTTACTAGGCAGCAATGTAAACACTGCCTTTTCTTTTTAGTGGTTGTTTTTGAATGCAGGGGTGTATATATCAAATGTTGGTGTTTTAATACATGTGGTAATACAGGAGGCATGTTGTATGTAGTGTTGATGTTTGTATATAGTGCTGACATATATATACACATAACCTACAATATACCTATGCCATGATACACACACATACAGATATACAGACACACAGATACACAGAAGATACACAGACAGATATATATACCCATACTGACACACATGCAGATGCAAACACACAGGTACACACACTTACACACATACAGATACACAGATGCACAGATACACCACCTGACACACATACATATAAACCCACTGACACACATACACATACACACGTTGACATATGCAAATACACATACTGATAATATTCAGATACACCCACTGACACACTGACACCCATACACATGCTGACACATGCAGATACACCTACTGATAATATTCAGATACACACACTGAGACACACAGATATACACACTGACAAAAAGACAGATACAAAGACACACTGATTATAATTAATATCCTCACCTCTAATCCAAGCTCTGGCTCCTCGCCCTTTATCTGATCACCAAAGCCCGGTGGCTCAGCCTTAAAAGGTGCATTAAGTTAAAGAAGATACTGGGCTGCAGATACTGGTGCACAATTAAACTTGAATATCCATTTATCATCTTTCTCTTTTCTAGTTTTTTATTTTGTTTTACTGTCCTTTTCTCTCATCTATTTAGTTTATTGTCATTTTACCTTAATATCTTTCCCTTCTGTCTTCACCCTTTCTAAATTTTTGTTAGTGTCCCTTTCTCTACTCTCTAAATAATGCCTATGTTTAAAGTAATGTCCTTTTATAATTTCTGTCAGTATTCCCTCTTTTTTTTTTTTTTAATTCTTTATTTTTGATTGACAATATGTAATAACAGGAGATTGTGACCAGGCTTGTGCACAAGCCAATAAAAACATAACAATAGATAATGGTATTGCGAAACTGAGTTACATATAAATAATGCAATGGCGGGGTTAATACAGCAGGCTTGGCATACAATGTTATTAGGTAGGTTAGGTCTTCATTTACAAGATGTCAAGGAATTTATTTTTATTACGCATTACCATGGTCGCAGGTGGTATGCTAAGTGGTGGATGCGAGGTTGTATCCGGGGGTGGTGAACCCGATGCTTCTGTGGGTTTTAGGATTGTTACAGAGTAATTAGGGGCGATTGGCACTGTCCTACTCACTTCTCTTAGAGTCTCCCTATCTGAGCGAGATGTGGAGCGCTATCCTTAGAATGTAGGCCATTACAGTGTCCCTAAACCCACGTCTAATTTCACAGGTTCCTCGGCCATCCTTACAGTCCCAGGTACTTGCTAGTCTGCTATGGGACCATCAATACAGAAGAGTGGGCCTTTAGTAAGCATCCGTACACTTTCTACGCCTATGTATGCTACATGTGTAGAAATAGGGTTCTTGTAGAGAGATAGGACCGGAAGAAGAGTGAGATAGAGGAAAAGAGGTAAAGAATAGGAAATGTATGAGAAGAAGACGTAGAAGGTGGTAGGTCGAGCTCCGGGGGGTCCGGGAGAGGGGAAGGAGGAGGGGAGGCCGGGGAGGGAGGAGGAGAGGGGGGGACGGGAGGGACAACACCGAGCCTCCATATCACTGTGTTCGGCCCCGGGCGACGGGTCGGTCGGCCTGGGGCTCCAGTGTCTACATCACGTCCGTCTCGTCAGTCTGCCTGATAGTATTCCCTCCTTTATATGAATGTTTATTTATTTCCTTTCTCTGTTCTCTCTACTTTTTATTTACAGCTGTTTTTTCTTCTTTCTTCATATGTCTTTTTTTTACTTAAATGTCTCTTCTTTTCAATTTCTGCCTTCTCTGCCTTCCCACTTTATAACTTGTCAAGTAACCTTTTCATTCACCATCTTCCCTCTGTGTAGGAAGGACCAGTCAAGTCCCCTTCTGGAGTGATGGAATTCAGATCATAACAGAGTGGTGCCACATGCAGGGTTGTCAGCAGCACAACATTGTAGTTGAAAGCATGTTGAAGCCACGTGACTGTGCATTGACATTAGATGGATCATTTCCCTTTAAAACGTTCATTTTGGATTGACCTGCTTTTCTACATATTCTTGAACACTACTCATAGCCTGTCAACGTGCGTTCCAAAAATCTGGGAAAATTGTGTTGACTACAATTAGGGCAAACATGTTTGACCATGGAGATATTGGTTTAGTCTAATTTACCTAATTTGTTATGCAACATAAAGTTTGTAAATAACTACATCATAAAGTAATATTAATCACCAAACTAGTGATGATAAAGCACAATGGAAAATAGTTGGATTAAATGTTTTTTGTTTTTTTTTATAGAAAAGTAATTTGACCTTTTATACACTTTTTAGACCATTCTTTTATTTACTGATCTGTGTATGGACTGTGTATATGAACAGTAAAGACATTTAAAGAAAAAAATAAGCTCAAACACACAATGTACTTTTTTTCAAATCAATATATTTAAAAATCGATATCACATAAAAATTAACACTCAAAGCATGTTTTAAGTGGTCTTGAATGATGAGAAACTGTACTTAGTGAGTAAATTTTTGTGTTTGTTTGTTTGTTTCCTTCATTAGAACTTTCATAGTGGGAAAAAGTTAACCTCTGAAATTCCTGTTTTATTTTTAGGAGGTACATCAATGGAATATGTCAACATTGACAGTTTGAGCATGACAAAATCTGAATCCTAACAATTTGTAATACCCATAATGCAACTCTGGTGTCCAACTATTTTTGTAGAGTCGATAATATGGGATATGTTGAACATTTAGAGGTTAAACATAAAAAAAAAAAAAATTCTTATAAAATAAAAATCATACTGCAAAACTAATAAAAAGTAGTCAATTTGAAGATGAGACGTTTAAACCACTCAGTGTAGAATCCAAAAAGAAAATTAACCAGCACACATCAAATAACACTGAGGTCCCCACAGCAAGCTGTACAGCGTTTCAACCAAACAATAGGTCTTTCACTTGGAGTTCTGTATAATGGCATGAGCACTTCCCTCTTTCTACTGCTAATACCTCTCCCTATACAACCAAGCATTCTGCTAGCATTTCCAGACAATGTAATAGAGCAGCAGGAAATGCTAGCAGAATGCTTGGTTGTATAGGGAGAGGTATTAGCAGTAGAAAGAGGGAAGTGCTCATGCCATTGTACAGAACACCGGTGAGACCTCACTTGGAGTATTGTACACAGTACTGGAGACCGTATCTTCAGAAGGATATTGATACCATAGAGAGGGTTCAGAGAAGGGCTACTAAACTGGTTCATGGATTGCGGGATAAAACCTACCAGGAAAGGTTAAAGGATCTTAACATGTATAGCTTGGAGGAAAGACGAGACAGGGGGGATATGATAGAAACATTTAAATATATAAAGGGAATCAACACAGTAAAGGAGGAGACTATATTGAAAAGAAGAAAAACTACCACAACAAGAGGACATAGTCTTAAATTAGAGGGACAAAGGTTTAAAAATAATATCAGGAAGTATTACTTTACTGAGAGGGTAGTGGATGCATGGAATAGCCTTCCAGCTGAAGTGGTAGAGGTTAACACAGTAAAAGGAGTTTAAGCATGCGTGGGATAGGCATAAGGCTATCCTAACTATAAGATAAGGCTAGGGACTAATGAAAGTATTTAGAAAATTGGGCAGACTAGATGGGCCGAATGGTTCTTATCTGCCGTTACATTCTATGTTTTTATGTTTCTATGTTTCTATGAGAAGTTTAAACCACTCAGTGTAGAATCCAAAAAGAAAATTAACCAGCACACATCAAATAACACTGAGGTCCCCACAGCAAGCTGTACAACGTTTCAACCAAACAATAGGTCTTTCTCTTGAGAAAATCAGTAGTTGGAGTCAATAGTCAGGTTTAAGGAGCTAACCAAACCTGAATTGCTGAAATGTGAGTGTATCTATTAATTCGCTTAGTTCAAGCCAATTTGACTAAATACTTCACATTACATGGTTTACTGTAGTTAAACTAAATTAGCTGATGTTCAAGGGAAACTCTAAACAAAGTGAATAAACTCATGAAACTGAACATGATATGCAAAACCTTGTCAATCACATTAA